CACACACACACACACACACACACACACACACACACACACACACACACGCACAAATATTCATAACTCTGTGGAAGAGAGTTGCATAACACATGAAGCCAGGAGAAAGGGAAAACAAGGAGAAAGAAGAAATCAAGTGACAATCACATAAAAAGATGTGACAGCTGACCTTTACACTAATTCATGCAGGCACCAAGAAACCTAGAAATATTCCTGGAGGAGAATTCCACTGAAAAGGACATGTTTACTTTCCTCTTTCTCACAAAAAATTCCATCACGCTGACAGAGATCATAATACTGACAAATCAACAAGCGGCAGGTAGCTGTAATGAAATCTTGTAAAGATATTCATGGTCCCCAGAGGATTCTTCCTACTGACTTTGGGGATCGGCCGACTTTTCTTCATTCACTTGTCTCTCCTGATTGAAATAAGTTTTCATCTAGCACTTTTACTAAGTCAAAATTGTAATTATACCAAGTGGCCTACTTTGGTTTATGATGAAATACTTGCAAAACATATCACACATCAGTTTCAGGTGTACATTGTGATTACTGCTAACTGGCAAATGTTTGCATACGTACATGCAAATGTTTGTTAACTTGCAACAACACAACACAAACTTGTGCACCCAGTATGCATTTTGGTCATTTTGCTAATAGAGGGTTTTGCCAAAACTCCTTATTCAATTATTATTGATATTGAAGTGAGTGCATGAACAGCAGTCCATTTGTCCTTTGCAAAATAGGTAATAATAATAATTTGAGTCAGTGCAGTAAGTCACCACTTTCATTGTTATTCCACTTGGTTGAAAGCAGGTAAAGTCCAGAGTTTGAATGATTATTAGTGACTGAGTGCATTTAAGTGCTTGATAACATTATGATTCCTATGTACGATTCAACATTACTTAAAATGGCACGACAACATTGGTTTTATCTCTTCCACAAACATCTGCTGCCCCCTCTTGGAAAACGAAGACATCTCCAGTAAAAAAACAAAAACGAAACACTTCAGGCCTCAATAAGCCATCGATGTATCAATGATATGTGAGCTGAGCCAGAGCCGGGCAAGCAGTTTCACCTGTTCATGAACCTTTTATGTACCTTCTAATCATTTACCCTCAGGTCACACTAAAAGTAAACTGTCAGTATGTTTGCTGGTCTCGATCTCCTGCCCTCTATCGCTGTTGGGTAAGCCTTTATTGCAAACAACAAGGTTGTGCATATAGTTGCTGGATCTCTGCTCTATCCCAGCAAAAACTGATCAGACAGTGAAGTTGCGCACGTGGCACATTACTTAGACATAAAATAAATAAATGAAATGAAAGTTAAGTACTCAAATCGTGTACCATCTCTAGACTATTGTACCTCATACTGTATATATATATATATATATATATATATATATATGGCTGAGCTTTTTCTTCTTCTCATTTAAGCACACACTTTGAACTAGAGACAGGCAGACATATTGGAGGACGCAGCTTAATGATAATTAATTACAGACTTGACGTCTGTATTTATCAATGATGTCCAGGGACAGCCTGTCACAGAGGTACTGCTGTCTATAGTTGAATCTCTTTCACAGAGGCATCAACTGACGAACTCACATCCACATGGGGAACGTGCACTGCTGAGGACGCAGCCCAAGCGCCACCTGTCGCCCGAGACAAACTACAACCCCAGTCGTCTTGATGGCAAGATGCTGTCATCACGTCTTCAACTCAACTCAGGGACCGCTACACGGTGGTGCAGACCTCCCTGACCCCAAAGCAGCTGCAGGACGTCACCCGGGGTCTAAGGTCCATTTTTGGCAGGGAGAGCAAGGTCACCTTTGGTGGGGTGTACGCATACAATGTGTATGTGTGTACTTGTGCCACTATTGAATGTGTGCACTCTAGGTCAGCTTGTGTGATTTTATTATCTCACCAAGGTACCTCATGCGGTTCAAGATCGAGTTCCGATCTTTGGACAAATTGCGAGAAAACCACACGTTTTCGATAAAGGCAGACACCACAGCAATCGATATAATGCTGTCACAATTTTTTTGCAAGGCAGTTTGATGTTTCACCTCGGCCGCATCAACTCTACAGTTGAGATGTTTGCCCCAGATCATGGTTTTTCCTGGTTAAATCCAGCATATTTTGGAACAGCACCAGCTGATTTGATCGTAAATCTCGACCCAGACGCCGCTGACAAAGATTCTTTGGCTGAAGCGCAACAGTCTGGAAACCCGACCCGAGAAGCTTTTAACAGCTGCAAGTTTAAAAAGTGAGGATGAAATGTTGCCCAGCTTGGAGATGGATGTCATGTGTATCCCCGTGCTCGCTCGCAACTGGAAACAATTCTTTTGATTCAATGATTTTACGAAGAGAAGATTTTGATCTAAAGACCAAAGCACTTGGACAATGGGCAGAGTAATACAGCTGAGAAGAAAAAGTACTTTAACTTTACGTTAGAAAGAAAGCAAAAATACAATAGTAAGTGATGAAAATCAAGACAGGATGTGAACATGTAACAAGTGGAATACATGAAGCCAGATGAGATACAAATATAGAGACATCATGCAGGAATAACCAGGATGGAGTACCTTTATCCATGACTTTTTTCTTATTTTTGGTGTTGAATATTAAATGTTCATAATGTTCCTTGACACTAAATACAACTCAAAACTTGCAACAACAACACAAACACATATGGATGTAGAGAGCCACAAGAAAACGGAACTGTCATGAGTGAGTCTTATCCAGACTTATCCCTAAAGCACGTGCCTGAGTCCTGAATGGAGGTACTTGCCTGTGTGTGTGTGTGTGTGTGTGTGGGGGGGGGGGGGTGTAGGTGCGTGCTCCAAATAACTCCCTAATCCAGTACCATAGTAAACAACCAGAGCGCTGTGGGTCGGAAATCAAGCGCTGGAAAAAGAGACCGACAGAATCTGTTCCCTGTCAGTCTGAAACAAAACCTGGACTCCCTCCCAAGCTTGTAACAAGTCAGCGGGCAGAGTTCACCGTGGGTACTCTGGCGTGTGTGTGTGTGTGTGTGTGTGTGTGTGTGTGTGTGTGTGTGTGTGTATCAACTACAATTTAAGTACATGCGAGTGCTCATTCGTGTGCACCGCGTCCTGCAAATCCAAACAGAACTGGCAGTGTTTTTGTTTCTTTCCATGAGCTTACCCGCATTGAAATTGAACCTTTTAAGGATCAACTTAGCGGCGTCCCTTGTTTTGGTTGGGTTCCTCACACAGCTTTCGGGTTGAAAAGTTCTCTCTGAGCTGAGCGTGCCTATTGTGTGGCTTTCTGGGGTGCGATGTGTGTGCCAGTATGTGCCCCCATGTTGAGGGAGGATGTAGCCACCGCAGACGGAGGAAAACAGGCAGCAGCATCAGGTCGTGCTGCTCTTCGTTGAGAATGCTTTTGTTGTTCTTCAACCGTTTCCAGGGACAGAATAAATAGCTGCGCTTAACCAAAGGCATTTGCCTCCCTCGCTGCTATGAATGCACCACTATGAGAAACATATTACCAGCGGTTACGAGTGTTTCTGGAAATTCTCTCCCCTCTCGTTCTGTTTTTCTCTTGTAAGCATTGCTGGGAAAACGTGAAAGAAAGAAATCTCCATTGTTTGTACCGGTCGACATCTGGTCAGCGGACATGGAGAACTTCAGCCGGCGCCTTTGATTTGTCATGGTCGGTCTTAACATTGCCATAGCGTTCTGGGACGAATAGACAGAATCCCAGGTAACCGTTGGGATCCTTTCCCTGTTGTCATCCACTTAAGGTCCATTTCTACCAGCCACTGATATCCATCAGCGTCAAGAGGCCGAAGCTCTTGCATGTGGTGCAGGCTTTATGTGGATCTTAAAGATCTTAAAGGTCAACGCTGGAATGTAGCAGGAGCGAACTGATGTGGAGAGAGTCACTGAGAGGATGGCAATTGAGCAGAAACCCAAAGGGATGAAATGAAAGTTTTTTTTTATTAGCGGTACATTGTGTCATCGAGATCATTGTGGCTACAATGTAAAGGTGAGCTCAGACTAGACACACACACACACACACACACACACACACACACACACACACACACATTCTCTTGAGCTCTCTGACATCAGTGTACTCTCATTCCGCAGTATAATCAGGAACCAGGTGCGAGGGGAACTACTTATGACAAAACTGGTGCACTGAAAGAGATGTAGAGATAGCGAGATTGAGAGAGACACGGACAGAGAAAAACATGACAGAGGAGACAGAGAGAGACGAGCTGAGCAGGAGGTCAGGCGGATGGAGAGAGAGGAACGCTACGAGGAGCTGGGAAGACTTCATTTCTATCTGGTGATGGAAGCGGGTCGCTGGTTGAGCCCAAGAAAATAAGGATGGGCTGCAAGTGCCTCTGCATCTAATCCAACCCTATAACAAGACAGATGGGTTCCAGTTCACGTGTCATGAAAGGGTTGGCCTATTTGCCACGCACACAGTCATGAAGTTACATGCTCTCTTTGTCCAGTCAGATAACAAAAAAAAGACATTTGAATATGATGAAGGAAAGTGCTTTACATATGAGCAAATATGTGATTACAGTCATGGTACTGTTTTTTTTGTAGCGTGTTCCTTGGCTGTCAGTGGCACACAGATGGGAAAAGCCATGGGAAAAATGTCGCACTGCTGTCAAACAATCTTTGGTTGTATAACTGATGGTTTTGACCTATACAGTGTAGAATGTTTAGCCCTTCCAGCTTCCCAAGAAGTTTACATTTTGAGGTCCCAGCTCTGGATTTTCACAAACCTCCAGGGATCAATGCATCATGGCCGGAGGCGCTGACAGACTGGCCTGTTGGTTGGTTAGCACGAGATGAAAGGCCTGCTGAGCGCCTATACAGCAAATAAAACATCTTACAGCCCAGCAGATGTCAGACATCCAGGTTTTGTATAGTGCAAGAAAAGCCAATATTTGTTTCATTCATGTTATCTGTTTTGACTGTTGTTACACAGACTCAAGAGAGACAAATGGATTTTTACAAAGTCATGTGCCTCACTGGGCCGTTTAAAAGCAGGATCTGTTGCCTGATAACCCTCAGAAACCATTAAGCAGGACCTGAGTTTCATTCCACGGAGATCGTTGACAGCAGGTTATCTGGATGTCACAGTAAGCTTTTTGACTATACTTTCTGTATTTGTTTGGATCTGCAGGAGCCAAGTGCACTCTTGCAGTGCAAACTGCCTCACATCTGCCTTAAATCATCCTCTAATGGTCACCTTAAATATCAAAGACACATCAACTGATCCCAAGAGTCTGAGAAACAGGCACTTAATCAACCACTTCAATAACTGTATGTGTGTGTGTGTGTGTGTGTGTGTGTGTTTGCTGTATGGAAACAATACCACCTCTCACTGAGAAAACAAACCCCATAAGAAGGGAAGAGAGGCATAAAGGACGAGGTTTGAAAAAAAAGGAAGGAGGCCAGTTGTGAACATTTCTGGCATTCCTCAGCTCCATGCAGCAGCAGGACTTTCTTTAGGGGAAGCAGTCACCTTCTCCTCATCGGCCACAGCAGAGCTGACCTGGCCCAGAGCCGACCACGGGAGGAAGCGCACATTAAAGCAAGAATTCAGGATATTGGCGGGCAGGGATATTGTTTAACCTGACACAAGTAAACAAGCATTAGAGCGCGTGCATGAGGGAGAGAGAGAGACTGAACTACGGTGGAAAGCATTACTCTTGTGTTCCTCTTCACAGGATGCTGGCATTTCCTGTTCAGAGAGTCTGCTGGATATTTATGGAAGACTGGCCCGAGAGAAGGACTTTTATTTTCTTTAAGATACTGTTTCTCTAAATAGACTTGCTGAGAGGAAAAGCAGATGCTTCACATGTCATCTGGTCCACACGTGGGTCATTTGTTTTGGTATGAGAACATGTGGTGGGATGATACAAAAGATAGATTAAAAAAAAAGATAACACAAAAAAATGGTTGTAAAAAAGTTGGGAACCACGATCCCAGGGGAAACTCAGTTTTGTTTGGACTGTTAAATACCAGGGAGTACAATTGAAGCACGTGCTGTACATGCATACTGCAACCCATCAGAGGTCCACTGATAATGTTGACATGCTAATGCAAAATAAATCAGAATTGGCTCCATGAGGACATTGTTATCTAACATTTATATCTTTACCATTTGGGTTCATGAAAAAAAAGCAATTTTTTTTTTTTTTTGGTGAAGACATTCCTTTAAGAGTTTCCGCGAACTCTGCATGAAAACATATTGCCGGGCAATTCCTTATCTCCGTAATTCACTATTTTGAAATCCATAAAGCACAGAAGGATTTCGCTGTATTCCATTCGTAAGCAGGGCTGCGCTGTAGAGGGGCCCAATCCCAATGGCCGGTCCTTTAAATTAAATCAGAAATAATGAGCCAAGTTAACTGCTTGGAAAATAAAGTAATGCTGCTAATGTTAAATTTCATGCTGCTATAATAATAAATCAAAAAACAAATCACACAGACACAAGTATAATAGTTTGATACAAAATGCACTTGTATTTTTCTTTGTTACGTTTTGTAATGCATGTCATCAACATTTATTCATTTTGACATAGCGTCCACAAGGACAAGTGCAAACCTGCCTGACAACAGGAATAAGTAAAAGTTAACGTACAAGATAAGAAATGATATAATGATGTTAACATTCATATGTAAAAAAAAAAAAAAAAACGCATCAATTATTTTACAGATTCATCTTAATACTAATTCACAATATACATTTCAGTACTTGTTTTGAGAAATTCCTTCCAATTTCCCTGATCCCGACCATTTGAAGGCAAACATCCCATAATTATACAAATCTTCAGTTGAGCACAATCACAATTTCAACTTCTGCCATCCCCCTTTTTCCAAGACTGATGTTTTCACAATATTTGAAGAGCCTGAAATTTTGTGGCAACCTTGCAGTTAAAGTACAAAAAAAAAAAAAACACACTTGTGCAATTTGTGCAACAGCCAACAAAACAATGCAAAACTTTAATATTAACACAGAAGTGATGTTGAAAAAAAAGGTGGCACTTTGTGAATAAAAGGTAATGTGACAAAAACAGTAGATTGTGTAAAATGGTTAACATGTACAGTACATTGTGTGACAGCTGACTGTGCTTGAAGAGCCTTTGGTTTCTTACTATAACATGTCCAATAACAAAATAAAAAGTGCTTCAGATTGTCCTTAAAAAAAATGCTAGAATGCTAGTATTTCAAAACTCAGGCATTGATGTGGGCTTTGTGTCTTTTAGGGGGTGAAGTGGCATGACAAACACACATAAATAAACATATAAAACAGTGGAGCAGTCCTTTGCTTTAATTCTTTAGTTAAGTACAACCATGTGTTAAAACCCTTTAAATCCTTCAACAAAACTCATCACAGAAGGTACATCTGGGTCAGTCGAAGCATAACGTGTTTTGATGAGAGCGCACAGTGAGTGAAGTCATTTCCCCAAGGCTGCCTCCTCGCTGAAACACAGTTCAAGAGGCTAATTGGGTAAAAAGAGAAACCAGTGTGCGTGCAGGGGTGAACTAGCCTCAGTGTAAAGCACGTCGCTTTTAAGGCAGCAGTGCAGTCCTGCGACAAAGTCCTCGAGTCTCTTCTGCCACCCCCTTTATCTCCTGCATCTTTATTCCTCTCACATTTCTTCCGTACGATCATAAATCAGCACGGAGAAGCGAGGATTATTCATACAAATGCAGAGGTGTTAGACTACACACACAGAGCCTCACAGACATCACAGCAGTAGAAGCAGCCAGCAGCAGGCGTACAGCATCCGTATAGCGTGGCCCTGAGTCAGACCGGGCTCACTGGCTTTCAGCGTCTGCTCCGCGAAGTTCGACTTCGCTCAGTCTCTCTCCACCTGCCAAGAAGCCGTTCAGCAGATCAGCTCCTGCTTAATCTCAGGCCGGGTGGGAAAGTGTGGCTCGCTGAAGGAGAAGGCGTCGCGGCCCGTCTTCAGCCCCCCCTGGCCCGGGCACGCCAGGTACGACCCGATCAGGTCCAGCTCGGGGGAGGAAGCCGGGCTCTCGGGCTCCGACTCCGACTGGCTCGTCTCCGGCTCGTCCACAGAGGAGCCCGACCTGGCGTGGAGGTGCAGGGGGGAGTTGGGATGGGCGAGCGAGTTCAGCCAGGGGTGGTTGAGGCATTCTTCCGCCGTGGCCCTCTTCCTGTACACACAAACACAATAACACTGCGGATGAGTTGGAAATTCCCGGAGAGTTTACATAACCGACGGATCGCCTGGATCTTCCGATTCAATCAATCTGGGTCGGAAACCACAAAAGAAAAGCACTTTTTTTGCTCTCAAGTTTTTCCCCCCCTTCCATCTCCCACCGATTACTCCAACACTGAGGAATCTTCCACTTTTTCCAACGCCACCAGTAATTTACTGCAATTAAACGATACTGACTGGAGATTATGGCTCTGGATGTGAGACAGAGGCCGCTGCTACTTTTCATCAACTCTGTGGCGACAATGTAGCCTACATGGCTCAGTCTCGGAGCCCTCAATCAGAATCTGGGTTAGAGCTAAGTTAATCAGAAGTACGGTTACAAAGCTTCCCTTGAAAATCACCTCAGTTCAACTCTTCTTTCGTTAACATGTTGACACACAAAACTGACACATCGGTGTAATGTCAAAACATGACGACAGTGGCCTTCTTTTTCTTTAAAATTAGGTGAGTTTACAGCCACAAGTCTGCAAAAAAAAGGAAGCGAACTTTCGTCGAAGTGACGTAAATCTTGTTACCACATACACTCATCTAGACGTATGCGGATGCACTTCCGTGCCAGTGTGAACCTGACTCACATCCTTTGTGATTAAATCAGCTCAAAGTGACTGAGTCACAACTCCTGATGATATCTTCGTCTTTACAGTAAACTGGCTCACCTGGGGTTTTTAACCAACAAGGTATTGATGAAGTCAACAGCCAGGGAGGAGATCCCCTCGAACGTGTCCTGCGAGTAGTCGATGTTGACTTGGCAGATGTTGAGGAATGTCACCTGCTTGTCGTCGCCCAGGAAGGGCGACTCGCCCGTCAGCATGACGTAGGTCAGGACCCCGATACTCCTGGCAGATGGGGAGGAAGAAAAGGGAAGGAAGTTACGAGGCAGTTTGTCACGTTGATGGTTGCAGAATCTGTCAGTCATGAATTAACGGCAATGTAGAATGAAGCAAAGATGCTCTTGTGGTCAAAGGTCTAGACTTGTCTGTTGCACATTAGGGAGGTGATGTCAACTTCAATAAGTCTTTTATCCTCAGACGCAAAACTAACTAAAGTGGTCTAAATGACTGGAAATAGTCCCGTTAACTACTGTAGCACACTTACCACATGTCTGTCGCAGTGCTAATAGGTTCATAGTTCAGGATCTCTGGTGCTGCAAGAGAAACACATGGCCCCAATTAGTCTTGACAAATGGCCCTCACATTGAAAAGACACAGGTGATTCTGGGTATTTAAGGCCTTAAATCAGGACTCACCAACATACTCGGGGGTACCCACGATCTCCCTGACCTCTGTGAGGTTGTCCATGCGTCTGGACAAGCCAAAGTCCACGATGCGAATGTCCCCCAGAGGTAGGGCACTGGTCAGCAAGATGTTCTGGGGCTGGAGAGGAGGACACACACACAAATTAGACGGAGGTATGGTACATAGTGTCATAGTGTCTTGAGGTCAGTAATGGCAGCGTGAATGAGTCAAAGCAGTTGAAGTAACTGGTTCCAAGAGGATTTGGGGTTTGTCAGTCTCCCTTTGAGCTCATCCTCTAAGCCAATCAGATGAGACGGAGAACAGGTAGGTTACCCGTGCCAAACACTGGCATGAGTCCAGGTACTGGAGTGTGCGTGCGACTGGTTTTGTTTGTTCTCGGTCAGACTGGCTTTTCAAAGGGGTCGTATAACATGTATTGAGAAACCAGATGCTTGGTCAATTTGCGAGATGCGATGTAGAAAGAAAACCTCAATGACGACTGCCTTGTTACCCCCCAGGGGAGGCCATTAAAGAAAACACGACGGCTCAGTGAGGTTCCTTTACCGACTGATTCCTCGTGGGAACGGGGTCGTGACACAGTGAATGAGTCGAGGTTGCATAACAGAACTCATATCTCCTTTAGGCTGCCATTATATTGTCATATAATCTTTCAGCGTGCTCACTTTCAGATCCAGATGCACCACATTGTTCCGATGCAGGAAGGCCACTCCCGTCAGGATCTGCTTGGCCAGCCGGATCACATCTTTCTCCGTGAAGGCCTCGTCGTTATCGGCAACACACTGGTTGAAGATTTCGCCACCGGCGGCGCTGGAAGGTAAGCACAGGAAGGAAAAGTGTAAGAAGACAAAACACCACCCAGTGGAGCTCAGTTTGGCTTACTTTCATTTTTTAATTATTCTCTTTAACTTGTTATAATAAATTGCACAAATACACCCTTCCTCTCAGTTTGAGTCACACAAGCTCACAATAGCAAAATTCCTACTCGTCCCATTTGAACAGTCATAGTAAACAAACCATAAGTCATTTCCAGTGTCTTAAAATGACGCAACGCCCCGTCTCCACATGAGTGTACTTTGACTTGGAGGAACAAAGTCCGTCCAAATCCACGCATTGCATGCGAGTCCAACGTGAATCAATATAATTTTAGAATTCCCATTAGCAATAATATTACAGGAGATAAGACGGGTCATATCAGCTTACAGCTGATGCAGATAAGCCTATACAGCCTGATATACAGCCGGTTAACTTACTAAATCAAACCAGGGGAAACTGAAGCAAACTCTGAATAACTGATCAAAACATCTTCTTAAAAGTAGAAAGGAATCTTAAGCTATAAATTAGCCACAGAAGGGTGGCAGAGGGGTCGTGTCAGGTTGGTAACTAGACACTGTGTGCGCCTCAGCCTGCATAGTTTGTCGCTCGTTTGTTCAAAACAAATTAAATGTCGGGGATTAGCCGGGTTCTTTTTTGTGTGGAATTTAGTAGTTAGACAACTCAATGACAACCTCTCACATTTATGTGGAAGGAATAGTCAAGAGTCCTGCCCGGTCTTGCTGCGCTTGCGTAACAAAGTTTAGTAAAGCGGAGACATGGTGGATTTACGTTGGATGCTCCCATCAGTCAGATCAATGCCTGAAGCTGACAGTTCACCCACACAAACAAACTAGGACCATGTGTGGGGGACTTAGATGGCACACATGCTTTTTATCTTCAGAGGACATTCTTGTGACCAGGCCCTGTGGGCACGACTGTTACATAACCAGCCCCCTCCTCCTTCTACTACTATCCTCAGCTGTGAAAATAGCACTCATGTTTTGGGGGGATTTTGAGGATATCCGTCATTGGTCCATATAATCTTCCTTTTATTTATTTATTTTGCTCCCAGCACACATTACTTGACCTGCCACCTACCCCGCTTGTTGCCAACATGAGAGCAGTGGAGACAGACAGTGAAACTGCACTGATCTGCATGTGTAAATGAAATGCAAGCAAGCCTATAGTGTTTTCATTCAGGAGAGGAAATGAGCAAGTTGAACTTGAACTTGAATCTGTGAACTTAACACGGACATTGAACTATTACCGTACCCGTCTGAACAATGAATTGCTTGACGTGACAACGTGTTTTAGTAGCTTCGTTAAGCTGTCAACAGAGCGCCCGAGAGGGTTTCAAATCTAGATAAAGGCCATCTTGTTCAAATTCAACAGTCTGCACACATTCTGACCAAGCACTTAGGAATGATCTGATACTTCCCCTGAAGTCTGAATACTGTCTCGGCGCTCCCCTTCCTTCTAAGAGAGTTAATGTACACACTACTTCAATGTGCAGGGAGACCCCCTTCCCTCCTGCACCGAGCAGCGAGACAAAACCCGCTGCTGCCAACATTAGCGAGGACACGGAGGAGCTAAACAACCATTCGCAGGCACGAGCTGGGAACATATTAAGCATTTCTCCATTTCAGCAGTAAACCAAGTCAACCTCCTTTTTCACTCTGAAGGAGAGGTTGTTTGGTCAAAACCATTCTTGGCTGAGTTTTTTTAGAGTACACTTTCCTTTAGAGCAGGAAACGAAAGACTGCTTCCTGGATTAGTGTCACAGTGATTCATTCTCCAGAAACGCATAGCGACTGTGCACAAAAAAAAAAAAATAGTGATGCACCTTCATTTTTCATCAAAGTGACCATCTCTGTAACTAGTCATTATGCTGGGGGGGTTTCTCTGGTACTGACGCACGCTGGAGCTCTCCAAGATGATTAGAATTCAGCTTCTAGCATCCATTTCTCTGACATTACCATGGATGTGGTTGCGGCTACAAGAAGAGCGCGCGTGTGTGTGTGTGTGTGCGCGCATGTGTGTGCATAACACTTTAGACCCGAGTGGTGGTGTGTGCTACTTTTGGGAGCCTTGCTTGCTGCTTGCATTTAAACCCACAGGAAATGGAAAATGGTTTGCAATTCTTGAAACTCATGCTGAGGTCAGACAGTTTGAAGATGCAGCTTTGCGGAGGCCGATGGTCTCGCTGCAGCTTTTAGAACAAACGTACAGTGCGATAGAGGGAAAAACTGAAGAAAAAAAAAAAGCACGAGCTGGCATGTGAAAACGGAGCTCTTTAAGCTATAAAATATTGTGCATGTGCGAGCTGCTTGATCTTAGGCTCAAAGAGAGCAGCTCCACTTGGAGGCCAAAGAGGAACTGTTGCCCACTGCCGACTGACCTCCTGCTATGTTTTCTCTGCAGGCATGCAGGGGTGAACTGTGGTGCGACTTCCCCTTTCACACTTCAGTCAGAGGTCAAACACATCCCCCCCCCCCCCCCCCACAGAGAGACCTTTGTTCTGAGGAGGCATTCCATGTCTGGGATTGGGATGACTACCGAGGACTGGGCAGGGGAGGGCTTCCTGCCTGAGCAGCGAGCAGTTCAGGAACAGGGTCGGGGGGACGTGGCTGAAGCGTAATTGCCCCGCGTTATCTCCCTGTAATGAGGCGAGCAAGGTAATTAAGATGCTAAGTGTCTTCTCCAAAATCCTAATTAGAGGCCGTCATTAGAGCGGTCAGAGAACACGTACTGGATATGCATCATGTCAGTTGACACCCAACCGCAACAGACCAGGGCCAGACAGCCGGGGTGACCTTGCCGGATCACTGAACAATCACTGAACTTCACCTGGTGTGCCGAGTCTCGAACTGACTCATTTGTAGCTCGATACATCGTTATTTTTCACACAGTGAGCTCGGTGCAGTTCTGCCACGTCGGTATTTAAAGTGACAGTTCCTGACATTTCGCATAACAAGAAACCGAGGTGCCGAGGCTACGACGAGCAGCTAACCACAGAGAGAGAGAGAGAGAGAGAGAGAGAGAGAGAGAGAGAGAGAGAGAGAGAGAGAGAGAGAGAGAGAGAGAGAGAGAGAGAGAGAGAGA